TCAAGTAACATGTACTAGCTGCTACCAATTTCAAGTAAGAGATGTCAATAGTTGTACAAATGAAGCAGAATTTTAGCTGATCAAGCTCCTTTTCAAGTTTGGATTATAAAGAAATTAGAAGGCTTCAAAAGCATGTCTCAAAATTCTGTCAAAATGAAACAAAACTAGAGGGGGAAAAAACTACTTTACAAGAGATCAAATTAGAACAACCAATTGAATAAACTACATAAAGTTTCAGAACGAAAGAAGCGAGTGATTACTGCCTTGTCACAAAAATTAAGGCTAATACTTTCGAGAACGCTTTGAATTAGTCAAGTAGGAATAACTTTAACAAGATTCAAGCCAAAAAGGTATGAAGGATTTTTTTTTTTATTTATTAATTAAGAGTTTTGAAGAGCATAAAAATATTAGAGGGTCGCCGGTATCACTGAGTTTTGGATCGAGTTTACCATTTTGCTCTTATCTTGTTCGTTTTAAATCGGAATTGGGCTTATGATATATCATTTGAAAGTTTATTTCAAGGCTATCCATCCATGTAGGATTTGCATAAAGATTATGAGGATAAAAAACCAGATTATCTCGGTTATGCAATTATGAGAAAAGTAAATTGGGTTATGGTTTATGGATTTTGGGCTAAACAAAAGGGTTTGAGCTATTGAAAAGGTTAAAATGCATTATTAGAAAATGATAGTGGAAGTGACTATTCAAGTAATTCTTAGATCTATTATGATGACAAACTAAATTTGGCGGGAAGTTTATTTAGTTTCGCCATTAAGCTTTGTTAATTTTTTTTTTTTTTTTTTTGTTCAACCAGCCTGGATAAACCACTTCTAGCTTTGATTCACCACCAGGTATGGAAAGAAAAGTCACGAAAAGCGATCCATCATTAAAGAAAGGCTTGTCTATACGTCTTTCTAGCCTACGCTAGGTTCCTTTCAATTGGAGCCTGGCGCTACCTGGATCAATCAGTCTATTCTAGTTCGCCTTGTGTCATCCGATTTTAGGGAAAAGATGATTAGACTTCTTTCTTAACTTTCTAGGGCTCTTGATAAGTGTCATTTATGTCGCTATTTTTAAGAGTTTTCTAGTTATTTTTTCATAGTTTTTATATCTTTTTACTTGGTTTTAATAACATTTTATTACTTTGTCATGATTGCGTGTGAAATGTCGTTATTGCTCAATTTTGGCTTTTCTTGCATATTTTAGTTGCTTATGGCATTAGATTAAACTTTATTGGTTTATTCTTATGTTTAGGAACACTTGGATAAGTTCATTGCTCAAGATTGAAGAAATATAAAACATAAAAGAACAAGTAATGAAGAAATGTGCACTTGATTTTCAATGATCGAACTTCAAACGCCTATATCTTTTGATCTACAAAACATTTTGGGGCAATTCCAATTGGAGATGAAATCTTATCTTGAGAGCTTTCCAAAGACAGGTCATATGCCCAATTCTGTTGTAAAACGTGGGAGATATGCTCATTTGAAGCTGAGCGGTTTGCCCAGTCCGATAGGAGCGGGCGCGCATCCTATGAGGAGCGCCCGCTCTAAACTTTCTGGAACGATTCTGCCATATTTTGCTGCAGCTAGGAGCGCCCGTGCACGAAATTGGAGCGCCCGCTCCTCTGCACGCTGCTCGACTTTTTGCGGAGCTTCCTAGGCAATTTAGTAAGGGGTATAAATAGATTTTTTGCTCATTTTAGGGGAAAAATTCCTATTTTCAGTAGTTTTAGGTTAGTTTTAGGTTTTTAGAGAGAGAAACTCTCAAATTTTGGAGAGAGAAAGTGAGAGAAACAATGGTTTTTATGGATTTTGGATAATCAAAGGAGGAATTTGATGATTTGAAGATCTCCATTTTATATCAATGAGCATTTCTTACTCTCTTCTCTCTTTATGCTTTATTAATTGCTTTGTTAATCATGTTTGAGTAGATTTCCTTCTACTAGGTGTTGAGTGAAGCTTTGTTATGGTTAATTGAGTTATTTGAGATAAATTTGATGATAATTGTGTGATTAAATTGATTGAATTGATGATGGCATGTTGTTTGTTTTAGATTGGATTGATCTCCCAAGATAGCAAACTTAATTGCATGTTAGTTCTAGTTTGACAAGGGATTGTGAATTAGAATTTATATATTTGATTGCATTTTGGGTAAATTTCTTCTATGCACCTAGTCAATGAGGGATCTAGGCTAGGAATTTGAGAGATTGCTCTTGATGGTAATTAATTCCCATTTTAATTCTTTCTTTGCATGATTGATTATCAAATCGATTCCCATTAACTTGTTAATTGTTCAAAGTGGATCTTTGCCCCTAGTAGACTTTGTAATATATTGATCTTTATATGTGTGTTAGTGTAGTTGTAGTGTCCACTATCCATAAACCGACTTCGGCGTAGCTTAAGCATTAGATCGAGAACAATCCAACATTACCGTTCCTTGTGGTTCGACTCCGAACTTACCACTAGACTTGTTTAGGGGTTAGTTTAGGATTATAATA